ACCAATTTATTACGCCAATTTATTGCTTTGTCACGACGTTTAATTAAAAGTGCAAATGGTTGGTATCATCAAGGCTCATCAGGCCGGTCTAGTTCGTCGCACTTTTGTATGCCGGAATCCATTTTTGTCCGAGAACTTTTTTGTCAGGTTACACTCGTGGTCAGTCTTTTTCGCGTAATTAATTAATGAATTTCGAATGCCGGCGCGCATGAATCAGACGGAGGACAAAAATTTTCACGTAATTGGCTTTAATTCGATCATCCTGTAACCTTCCTTTTACTTTTTTTTAGTCGCGCAATCAGTCGCTTACTGTTCACGCTCTACTTTGCTAAAATCGGAATACGCAAAGCGTAAATTACCGAAAGAGCGATTAATTTGTCCGATCTGAGCGAATGAAAAACAAAAAACTACGAGAGAGGAAAACGTAAATAAATTGGCAGCGGAAAAAAGAAAAGATTACACACGATTCCTTTTTATTTGTTAATTTTTTTCTACCCGAACAGTTTATCGCCAATTTCGGATCGCTTACGTTTGCATTTTAACTGATTTAGAGTTGTGGTGTTAACATTCTCGAATGTAAATATAGAACTTTGTTCTCCTATTGTACTAACGATTATAATGACTTTTACTGTGATTTTCTTTCAAAGCTCGTATTTTTTTTAAATTCGAACGTACAGCATTTTTGTGTCAATCTATCGAAAAAATTTTTTTTATTTTCGCAGATTACTTTCACAATTTCTTTATTTAAAGCTAAAAAGGAATTTTGTACAAATTATATAGACAAGCTATCGACATGCGAGTACAAATATTGCATCGCGTAATTTAAATCTTTAAAATTTTTTTATAAAATAAAATTATATTTTTACAAAATTTGCAAAAAAATCGGTAAAATATGCAAATAATGAGAAAACAAATATTTGTTGTGAAATTTCTCAGTGGAGACGACTTATTAGCCGTTAACTTTTCAACTTTCCTCGTCTTGTCGCGCTTCTTTTTTTCTTACCGAAGTTTTCCCGCAGTGAAGAGCCGCACGAATCCTAAGGGAATTTTCTGCTTTTGCTGTCGGCGATAACCATGTTAATGCAATTTCTTGATGGTTTACGGAAACGGTCCATATCCTCTCACTTCTAGCGTGCCAAGTCGGCAGTCTTGCGTGTTCGTGCCTCCCTTATCGTGCCTGTTTTTTGCCACTTTTTGCCGCTTTTCCTTTCGTCCATCTCTACCGTGATTCTTTTCTTCGTTCCACCACGTATTACATTTTGGACAATTTCGCCTCTCGTTCATCAATCTTTTTACTACAACAAATCAATGGTATCGATTTTTCGAGCGTAAATAAAAACTATATTTAGAACCTTGGTTAGCTTTGGAGTAGTGCAATATGGAACTTGCTTATGTCTTCATCAAAATAAATTGCCCTCGATAAATTGATGCGTAACAATTTATTTTTATTTTCGCCATCTTGCAAATTGACTTTCATGTTAAACGAACCGTTGATTCATTTTCTCTCGCTATTTCGAGGCATGTTATATTGCGGTTTGAATGCATAACGTCTTGTTTCATTGCACACTAGATCTCTTTAACTGGACCAAACTTCGCCAATAGAAACTCACGTTAACCGAGTCTGACCTAAGACTTGTGCTAAATCGGAACTTAAACTAGCAATTCAAGTTACGTTGTTGATGGAACTAGAAGTTTAATACAAAGTATACTATTATGCTTCGAGAGTCTCTTGTGTGTGACGATTGACAAGTTTTAAAAAAATTGTTCATGTAACAAGTCACATTTTTATATTATCACAGAAATGCATCGGAGTGGAATAGTGAATGCTTCAATTATATTTCAATTAGAATGCGCTGACAATTCATTTTTAGGATACTTCAATATCGCCAGATTTTTCACCGTAGATCCTACGATTTGTATTCTTCAGTCGTTCTTGTTACGTGACTTTAATTGGACGAAACTGGTCGCTTGGAGATAACTAACATGAATGTAACGAACGGTAGCTATCATCACTGGTTACGGATTTTGATGCATCCAGTTATTGAAAGCGTGCTTGAATTGCAGAAATCGTTAACGAGATGGCCCAATGCTTTCCGATTTTTACTATGCGTATACAAATTTTTACGAAGTAAATTGATGGCACACTGTTTGTTTTACATACATATATATATATATATATATATATATATATACATACGCACATATAAACAACAAGTTGCAACATCTTAGAAGTAGATTCTTATCGATTTATTTGATTACATTTATTAATGGATTTAATAAATTATGTGTTATATAAAAAAGATTATTTTCAAGATATTTATCAAACATGAAATATTTATCAGAGAAACGAAAAATATCCAGGCACACAAACCAAATTTATAAAAAATGTATTATAATACTTGTAGTATTATAATTATGTATTAAAAGTATGTTAAAATTATATTATTGATACTAAAAAAATATTTTATTTCTATACTAAAAAATATGTATACTTATGTTATGATAATGACAAAAATATTCAATAATGACAAACAAATAAGATGCAAATGTATTTCGAATATTATTTGTATAAATACTTGAACAAATCTGAATAAATTGCACATGTAAGTGACAGTTTTATGAAATAACGAGACATTTTTGGAAAGCAAGGCTTTTAGATTCTACTAAAAGTAATTTGATGCCTCGTAGCCGAGTGGATTAAGTATCGGAATGGCGATCTGCAGCTTTTCCCTGTTCCTCTTTGTCTTCTTCTTCTTCTTCTTCTTCTTCTTTCCGGAACACAATTCAACGAACTCTAGGAGTAATAGATAGTTTCAGTTCGGTATAAACTTTCATCGGATAAGATGTCCAGGGCTTTACGATAAGACCTGCTTCAAGATATTCGCGCGGTTGTCCTTAATACTCTTGGGGAGAGGTATTAATTCTTCAATTATTGAAATAGAATACTCGAGAGGTGGTAGTAAACTATTCAGTATATCAATGCAAATTATATATTATACTACAGGAGTATAATTCTTGTGAAAGTTCTGAGATATTCTGTTATTACTATTAATGCATTAGAAACAACAGAACAGCAGAACCTCTACTATATATTATATACATTGTTATATTAACTTAATTAGGAAAAGTTGAAATTATATTGAGATAAATGTGTTACTTTTCAATTATTTATATTTTACATAAAAATTATTTAACAAATTTCTCTTATATTTTAACTTCCGATTTAAAATTTAATTATTATTTTATTTATATACACGTACAACATATTAATTTACATTGAATTATATTAATTTCAATTAGAATTACAATATGTTTATTTTAAATAGAAGAATGTTTGATTGTGTTCATCTTTTTGTACATTACTTGAAATAATTATATTTACATAGGTATATTATTATTATATATATGTATATGTACATAATATGTATATACATATATATTTTTTATTTTATTTTTTGCGTTTATAACTGCTTGTACTGCTGAAAATGTAACGATAATTCGAATAAGCGAGGCGATAAAGTATGAAATGTCGGAGCAAGTAGTCTGAATCAAGGCTTCTGCCGGCCATGTGTCACGCGATGTTAAGTAGTGGAACCGCACGTGCGGCACGTGCGACACGTCAGACACGTGCGACCCATACCGCATAGCCGTAGCCGAGTTTTAATTTCGACGACGAACCGAGTGGGCCGAATGGCGGCTACTGCCCTACGTCGCGTCGTTACATTCCCGTGCTTGTTTGATTAACGTCAATTTCACGGCGATCGCAATTACGTTTTCGTCTTATATCTTACCACCTGCAGCTCTGCAGGTTTCTGTTATACATCGGTCTCGCGGAAGAGGCGGAATTACGGACGACCTAATTTACGGGTGGAAACACTTATAAGCCGGTTCCTGCAATTTGCCAATCCCTTTGGAGTGGCTAATCCGCTCACGCGCGTCTACTTTCGTGACTTCTCTCTCGTTTCTTTTTCCTTCTTCTCTCTTTTCCTTTCCTTCCTTATTCCGTAAAATTGTATTTAGCTTTCAGCGAGACTTCTCAAACTCGTCGCATTTTCTCAAAAATTATGACATTCTTGAAAAATGCTATAAAAATTTATGCAAAAATACATTAGAAAATTGTACAGAAATAATATCTTGTGATATTTGAAAGAATAAAAGTTTATTATATTTTTATCGTATTTTTTTTTCACAACTGAAGTAACATTTTAAATAACAGTAAACGTTTAAAAGAAGCTCACGTATTCTCAGTTTAAGAAATCTCATTTACACAAACTGATAAAAAGCTGTTTTAACATATTATATAACGAATAAATCTTTATATATTTTTGCTCTTGAAGAAAGAAATGCTTTCAAATATTACATACTTTGATCTGATGCAAGATTAATTCAATTAAAATCCTCGTAAACTTTGACATAGGCAGTTGTAAAAGTTAAAATGTTTCTGCGAAAAACAAGAAAGTAGGATGCAGAAACATTTTCGTAGAGATAAAGCGTAGAGATAAGGCCGATGTAGCAGGTTAATAATTATTTTTATACTGATGACGAGAAGGCTAAGATTGCTTCGTGTAAACGTGTACTCGTGTAAAGTGAATGAGTCAATGTTAACTCGCTTTGAAGGTATGAAAGTTTAAAAGCATCTTCTAGATTGAGGCTTAGCCTTAAAAGCACACGAATTTGAAATTATTCCGGTTTACTTTACTCTCCGATTGTGAGTGTTTATACGGCGAGCAAAATATATACATACATACGAATACTAAATCTTTAATGAAAGTGCTGCAGCAGATGTATGTATAGGCCAATGAGATGATCGTTACAAGAAAAGATAAATACACAACGGAGATAATGTAGCTAGATAATAAGATGCACTTACCTCGCGAGTTTGAATTTATCTTCTATTCTAGGATGGAAAAGGGGATTCTGCTGTGTAAATATTAAAAATGTAATAAGAAAGTAAATTAGGTAAAATACGCAGTTATGCGAGTTAAGTAAGGCAGGAAATCTCGTATGTACAGTTCGTATTATAATTTATTACAATTTGTACAGATTACAAATCGGTACCTATCGTGATGCATTTTCTGTCAGACATCATAAAAGGAGCGAATATTGAGCAGAACGCCGCTCGTTACTGCGCTAACGTTATTTTATATATATATATATATATATATATATATATATATATATATATGTATATCTCAGTTATTATAATTACCCCTGTATATAATCTATATTTGACACTTTGTGAACACTCCGATCACTAATCAATATCGCATTTATGTTTTCGTCGGAGAATTCAAATGAAAACGTGAACGAAAGTCGAACCTCCATCGTTTTTCTTTCTTCGAAACATCTGTCGTATGCTTTAATCACAAAAATGCAGCTGATCTCTTATAGCTTGGTTAACGATTTCACGTTCACTTCGTTGCTTTAGAGTCGCGGTAGGTTGATTTTCGTCTACACCTCGGACATTACCTCATCATGCCGTTCGTTTTTTTCCCTTCTTCGTTTTTACAGCGATCAACAATTTACATCGAAAGACAACACGTTCAAAAGTAAACGGTATACGAGTTATGGATAATCTTGCGATCGATTCGCTTATAGCGTAACGCCAATCTTCTCCGTGTTTCGTAGGCTCCTCGAGAGAATAAAAATCATCGTTATTCGACTATCTATTCTATACATAGTAACATACATAACTGGAAGCCCTAGACTACTAGGTTTTACATGGACGATGTGTAATCGGATCAGACAGTGGCAGCGATATCTTCATGGAGGGTGCTCGCGAGCTACCTGCTAACTGTCGGCTCGTTCCTCGACAGTACATACGTTATCGGGGGTACCGTCATCGTCAGCGATGTCATCATCAGGAACAGGGTAGCCGCCGCGACGGCTATTATTATCGCCGCACCGCGATTACCATTCCAGGGCCAATTCTGTCCGGCGCATCCGTTCGCTCCTGCTCAACAGAAAGTAGTCGCATGTTAACGAACCGCGGAAGGGTAATGAAATTTTATGGAACGTGTCGGCGTGTTCTCTCTCTCTCTTTCTCTCTTGTGCGCGCGTGCCGTTCTCGCGAATAATAGAAACGATGTCCCGAAAGAATATACGACAAGTTTAATTATACCCGCCGATGGCACTGCATTGGTAAAAGTCGCCGTAGACTGCAAAGTCTTCTTCTTCGCTAGAACGTGCAAAATGTAAATTTGAGGACGAGCCTAAGAGAGGAGAGAAAGTTTTGCCGAACTTAAGCATCTTTTGAGAAGTTTCCTTCGCAATTAACGACCCTATGTACTGCCAACGGCTAAGTAATTTGATTCGACGTGAAACGGGCAGACAGTAATTTGAGTTGTTGATTTCGTCCATGCGCATTGTAGTAATATAGTTAAATAGCGAGAAAATATAAAAAATTCAACTTTCGTATATTCATTTTTATCATACGAATCACAATTCAATTTTTCATATTAATTGTCCAAAAGTATTAATTTATTGCATATATATTTTTATAACCATGTTATTCTGTAAATCTCGATAAAGATCAATTTTTTTATTCCGATCTTCGTGAAATCGTTATAGGACAAAAAAGATGAAACTTCTTAGAAAAATTACGAAAGTCTTGTATTAACTCGTGACTTCACGACTGATTAGATAGGTAATGTATTATACGTTTCTTTGTAAGCATGTTTAAAACGTTAACGTATTTGAACGGGGGAGTCGAAGCAAGGCGAAATTGAATGAGAGTCGAAATTGGTTCTCGCATTCAGCTTACGATTGCAAAATTCAGACCGTGATTCCGTTCCATACAAACTGGAGAACGTATTTAATTTCGCTAACCAATCCATAGAATGGCATTCGTTAATATCGAAAACCGATTTATTCCGGCTTCTCGATGGCCCTGGTGGATATTAAACGATCGATGCTGTAATTTCGAAACACCAGGGTGCTTTTTTTTTTCTCTCCGCGCGAGATCTTGAAAGCGAGTGTCCTTTGAAGAAGGTTGCCGTTATTAACCGCAACGGACGCGGATGGCTCTTTTAGAAAGTCCGCGTCGGCGGATGTCGACGGCATGAAATAAAACTTCGGTAAAACGAGGCAAGGTAAAAGAAGGAACGCGCGGCGAAGAATCGCATTAAAGGCGACGTCGCGGCTCCGCGATTAAATTTTCAAGAAAGAGGAAGAGTAGCGGGCAGCACGCTGCAGAAAGGAAGGGAAGCAAACCAGGAGGGAAAAAGCAAATTACCGGAAGGGCCGTGCCGGTCGCCCGTCGGATAACGTCGGCGGGGAAGATGCAAAGAACCTGGGATGCAAAAAGTGCACGATAGTAATTTCCCCTAGAACGAGGAAATAATTTGAACGGTTGCGCTTGTGAAGTCTGAAACGAGCGCGAACTGTAGTTATAGCCGTTGTAATTTCGCTCTTCCTTTCCGCGGATCATAATTCAGCTATACTGCTACCTATCTACAATTTTTCAACGAGATTAACAAGTTTGCGATGTTACACTTTAATCGTCTTTACGCAACACTTAAAGTCGACTTTTTAAACAGACTTTGCTAATCAATTTACAGATAACCGAAGCGGCGAAAAGAATTATTTCGAATTATAATGGAAACGAGAAAGACTTTTTTTTTATAGGATTTAAGTTTTAGCGACTGGATTTCGAAGATAATCTCGCAATTTAAAGTTCTCACGCTTGACCCGCTACGAATTCAATTAAATGAAAATAGATACGCGATATAAACACTGCGTATGCGATACCAACTTGTCATTTCTATATTTTTATTAACAATTATATTTTCATATTTAATAGATTATTGTAGTTTTACAAGAAAAATTAAAAGAAAATTTAAAAATACCTTTAAATAAAGATCATTTATTATAATCGTTCAAAAATTGGCTATTAAAATATCATCGACACACACACACACATATATATTAGATCTATCAATTAATATTTATTCCTATCAATTAATATTCATTTTAAAATCTGATTTTGCGAATCTGTTTTATTAATAATCGCACATTATGTTGTGACCGCACAGAACAATAGATCGAATAATTCTTTCCGCGCGTGCTTTCGTTATTGCGTAGGTGTAATAGTCATTAATTTTTACGGAACATTCGTCTTCGTCCGCTGGCGTGATAAATCTACCGACGTTCAACTACGTATTTCTACACTCATGGCCCATCGGATTAATAAACTCGTTGGGGGACAGTGCTACTTCTAGTTATGAGAGGAGAAAAAGTGGCACTTGTGAGATTAATACGTATACTTGAATAACAGGAAGTCAATTTAGCTGTATATATTTCATTATGTCAGAAGCGAGAAAATATTCCGGGAAATCCGGCTTGTCGTGAAAGAGAGCACACACGTACAACTATAGAGATTTCAAATAAAATTCTTCGCAAAACTCTTTGCACGTTATAGTCGGTTCTACATTTTCTTTTAAAATGCCGTATAGATGGTCTATTTAAATTCTAAGAACTAATAGCCCATTTCCTGTTAATTAGATATTTAAATTCTTATCGCTTTAATACGAGAACCTTTTGTTATTGCACCGTTTTATATTTCGCGCACCATTATATTTTCGATTACACCTTCGAATATTACATCCCTGAGCACATATTCCTTTTATAACTTCCAACGACGATTCATGTCTGCAACAGTCTGGAGGTCTGCCAGAATTGGTCACAACATGCTATTTATTATATTTCGTTGAACAAGAGAACAACTCTCATAAGATCCCACTTGATCTCAACCTTTTTCATGCTACTGCAAGCGACATTGCAATCTGCACTATCGCTTCTTAATCCGATTAGATATCGTTTTGTATCTTTGCTGTTATGTGCTTCGTTGTTTTGTAACGAAACACGAAATTGGTGAACGTTCTTTAAACATATCTTTTTCTCCATTTTAACAGATTTATACGAGAATTAAACTAACTGCGCAATAAAAGTGTGGAATTATTTTATTTTGTAAAATTAATAACAAAGTTTGCAACGCTCCATTTTAATATTCTCATTTATAGTTTTTTATTTAATCTAATATATACATATATATATTGTACAATTTACGGTAAATTTATTTAAATTTATAAATCTGTTTTTAATTCATCACGATAATACCTATTCAATATTATAGCCATGAGCGCAGTTGAAAAGTTTGTCCTAAAAAGAAAATTGGATTCTAGTGTACAACTATGTTCGTAAATGTTTCGGTTGAAGATTTACGATTCTTCGTTGTACGTACATCGACTCGTAGTTTCCTCAGGCTTTCGCCATATGTCATCGGGTCTAATAAGGACATGTATAGGGAATTAAAAATAATTTGAGTGATTCAAATACATTTTTGGAATTGTTAAATAATTTTACTGCACCGCAAATATATCAAGTCGTTTATGACACTTATATGCTTCATAGAACAAATATTATCGCACGATGCAGATGAAATTGAAAATTCTCCTTTTTAAAAATAAGAAGAGAAAACAAAGAGAGATTTAGTTAGATGTTTTCATAAAACGCGCTCGGTTTTTCTTATTTAATTTCTCTCACGAGATAGAGAGGGAGAGAGAAAGAGAGGACGAGGGTCTCTCGCAGAGATGTCATAACTTTGTTTACATTACAATAGATTAACGTTATCTTGAGAAAAAAGCGTAATGTAGAAGTTTCCACCGACTTCATCAATTCTGCTTCATGATAAAAGCATCAATTTTTAAGAACATATACTCCGGAGAAGCGTAAGTTTTCTTCGCACCCAACGAGTTATAGAGTGAACGGATATTACTTTTCTATGTTCTGAGATACAAGACAATGTCATCGCGATTTTACCCTCTGCAAATATAGTTTTTATGAATCCTATAGGAACAGAATTTCACATAAAGCGCGCATGAAATATTAATCATTACTAAATGGGTGAAAAAGAGTGGAATGCTCGGATATAATGTGCTTGTATAACTACATATATAAAATTCGCTTCTCGAAATAATTCGAAAAGTTATCGAGCGGACGCAAACTAGAAGCTTTACACTTTTAATTACGAGAATAACGATATTTTATGCACGTCACGCTCGGGAAATTATCTCTAATTAGCGATGTGGGATATGAGCGATATAATTTCTGCTTCTTCATTTAATGTATATGTACATATACCTACACACATATATGTATATATGCGCGAATAAAGAACGATTTATATATATATATATATATATATATATATATGGAATTTGTTTTGCCGACGTGTACATTCGATAAAGCTCACTTATCGGTTTAACTCAGGAATAATGCTTGTTCGTTTGAAAAATTACTTTGTTAACGACACGTGTCCTCTTCTCAATCGATCTCCGAAGTACTTCATTCGATGGGCTACCTTCGTTACGGTTCACTTAGCTCGTGGTAAATAGCATCTGTGTGTGTTTAACCCGTTACCCAATTAAACCGCAGACCATTGCCCCATTTAACTATTACTGCGTTATAATAGCGAATTAGATAAGCTGCAAAATTAATATTGCAGTTGCAATATGGTAAACGTTTCTACGCATCGATAGATTTAATTGTTTAATTAGTTCTCACTCTTATATTTATATTAACATTGTATTATTTATTTGAGAATTTGTATAAATGAGAAAAGTTTAAAATATACGAAAAAAATACATATATTAGAAATGATACATCAATTAATATTACGGATTAAAAATTCGCAGAAATAATGAAACAAAAATGAAAAAGGAAAATAATTATAATGCTTGCAGATATATCATTTAATACAATTCTGCATCTGCAAATAATTGTTCCTCATATACTAATCACTTCTTCATGAATTACTGTGACAATACGTCGCGAGCAAGTTTAAGAAATATCGTTCGTTATCGATAGAAAATCTCTCGGCCGGAAACAGTTGTTGACACGAGTTTTCTACGTAACAAAAGTGAATAAGCGTAGTTGTACACAAACAATCGTTGA